GTTTCTCATTTGCTCATCCAAATCACTTTCCACCCTTTCTCTGATGTCCTTCCCATGATCTTTGAGGTGATTCAATTGCTCCCGAGAGACAAGATACATTTTTTTTGAGGCCATGTCACTTCTTTTTTTTTTTTCAGCCTCTGTTCATCAAACCACCCACGACTTGGCCTATGATAGTCAATGCAGCTGTGAGCAGAGGGAGCAGGAAACCCCCTTTCTGAATAAGTCTCCTCTTTTTCACTAAAGCAGTTTTTTTATCTGCCAGGGTTCTCAGACTTTTTCTCTTCCTCTTTAACTTGTTGTATTGATCGGGTAAAAGAGTAATATGACCTTTATGAAGATTATAGGCCAATTCACACACGGTTTTAACCAGGTCCTGTGAACAGGCCTCGAGAATGGCCTTACGTCTATGCGGGGTGCTGGAGACTAACACCTTGAGCAGAGGCAGGTTTCGTTTTAAGCATTCAGACATGTTTATTAGCGGTTCTTCCAGGGATATACACACAGGCGCGCTCTTTGGGTAACACACCAGTTCTCAGTCTCAAATGTTCTGCGCAGGAGGGGGTTAAGTCAATCAATAAATAACCGTGGGGGTCTTTTGTCCCAGATAATGTTATGCTGGGGGGGCCTCAAGATTTCAACCTCTGAATTTTCAATTTAGTTTTCCACTAATTCCTTGACCGAATAAAAATTGATGCGCTGGCGGCACTCGTATGACTGGGTGATACCTTTTGCTTTGATTTCTACCTTGCCACCTCTGGTTTGATATCCATAACTTTTAGGACCCGCTGAGACAAATTCCTGGATGGAATCTGAATGTAATTTGTCTGTGAGATCACCGAGGTAATAACCCAGGTCCAACTGAGGTACTCCCTGTTTAGTGGTGTAAATTAAACTGTCTGTATCGTAATAGAGAACCCTCTTTTCAAGCCTTTCGATATGACTGTACAGTTTCAATCTGCCATGACATGTTGTAAAAGCTGCGATGAATACATTATCAGCGGGGTTGGGCCGCGAGCACACCCCCTTGCTGTTACTGTACTAAATGAGGGACACATCGTCGTTGAGAAAGTTAAAATATTTAAACTCGTGAGTTCCTGAAAATAACAGGTTGAAAAATGTTTGGGGTTCACTCACGATCTCAGTTTGAGTCATATTGCATTTTTGCGCAAACTTTCCCCAAAAAGAGTTCAAACACAGTTTGGCCACTTGTCTTTTAGCGGGGTTGTGCTCGATATTTGAGGTGTCCAGTAAGATTCCTTGATTGTCATGATAGTCTTTAATGTACTGCCTTCTACCCTGCTCATCTGTGACACCTGCTGGGTATCCGCTCGCCTCCTGCTTCCCCTTCAGAAATGTGGTGACGTAACCTCTAAACAGAGAGGAGCTCTGTTCTTTGAAATGCCACACTTCGCTAATTTCAGCGAGTCTGTATCCTTTCTCCAGAGCTTTTACAAACTCCAGGGTGACCCACACACCGGACAGC